CCAGTAAGTACTTAAAAAAAAGATTTTATTTATTCATTAATTCATTCATTCAATTTAATTTGACACCCCCCGTGTCACACACACACACACACAGAAAGTGAGAAAGCAAGCCACCAGGTTCGGGTCTACAACTGTGGTCAGCTATGTAGGAGTGTCCAGTGCCTTAACCACCACGCCACCTGTTTAGCCTCCTGAAGGTGTACTTATGCAGGATTTTTGTATTGAATTTTTATTACAACCTGCCACAAGGTCAGGTATAGAATTCTCCACTTGTGGTGTGTCACGTTGGCACTCCAGAGGTTTTGGATTTTCAGACTGGGGATGTTCAACCTGTATGAAAGAAACACATAGGGATTCTACAAAGTAGGTCAGGGTGGGCAGAGGGGGTAATGTGTCCAACCACAAAGGGTAAGGATGATCTCAGAAGAAGAGTGATCATTTCTCTGATGAGAATATTACATACAAACCTTCCTTGGAGAACACAATTTGGAATCGTCTAAAGATTGTCTTCAATTTTAAGATCTGTTCATAAAAATATGTGTGGACCAGCAGTTAGTATAATGGCTATGTCGCTGGACTCCCATATAGTCAACTGCGGTTTGCGTCCCGGACCCGGTGGCTTAAAACTCACGCTGGGCGCATGTGCGTGCATGCCCAAGATCCTGAGAGGAGAATGGAGGAGAAAGGATTGCAGCATGACCATCCCCCCTGGGGGGTGATTTCTCGCCTTCTGTCTCTATGTCTCTCTCTGTCTGTCTGGCGAGCGCACGCGCCCTATAGCAAAAACCTCTCCAAAAAACAAAAAGTGTGAAGTCCAATATGAAAGACTACAGGTGGTACAGGTGAGGATGACACTCCTGTGGTCTTAACTCTGTCCGTCTGAATCTCAGCTGTGTCAAATATCAGTACTCAAGCAAGATCAATGTCCCAGTCTGGAAGAGAAGATGATCAAGAGTTGTTCCTGCCAGTTGGACCTCTAGTTAACAAACTGCCTCATCAAGAGGAGCTACCAACTGAAAGGATGTTGGGACAAGCAGAGGGTGTAATGGTTACATTGCTGGACTCCAAGTACTCGATCATGGTCACAGTCCTGAACTCAGTGGCTTAAAACTCACACCAGCCATGAGTGTTTGTGTGCCCCAAATCCTGAGAATGGAAGATAAAGAATTGTGGTGTGGTTTCCCCCCCCACCACCCCCGGGAGGGGATTTCTTGCTTTCTCTCTCTCTAGTGAGCGTACGAACTCAGAAGAGAAAAATCAAACAATGGAGCATCTGGGGTTCAAAATAAACGGATGGTGGGCCAGCTCTGTAGCCTAATGGTTAAGGGGACTGGATCCCAAGTAGTTGACTCTGGTTCAAATATCCCAGTCCTGACAGCTTGAAAAACACACTGGGAGTGTGTGTACCCCAAATCCTAACAGGATAGAGAGATGGAGGGAAAGGGATTGCAGCATGATCATTGGGGGTGCTTTTTCCCTCTGGCAAACATGCATCCTCTGGCAATTAAAAAGGGAGGGCAGCAGGACAAGAAGATGGTGTGGAAGTTAAAGTGCTGGACCCCACATTGCCAGCTGTGCAGTTTGAGTCCTGTACCTGGCAGCTAAAGATCACACAGGATGCATGTGCATGTGGCCCCATCCTGAGACTGGTGGAGGTTTTGCAGTGTGGGTAGTATGGCCATTCCCTGGAGAATGATTTTTCACTTTCCCTCTCTTCTTCTCTGGCAAAGTGCACATACCCCATAGCAAAAACTTGTGTACACACATACATAATACATATATAGGTGAGGGGGGCAGCCTGTGGCATGTTGGTTAAAGTGACTTGATTCAGATGGTTGGCTGACTGGCGATTTGAACATGTACATGTCAATGCTCAAAATCCCAAAGGGAGGTAGAAATGGAGAAGGGATTGTAGTATGACATCCCCTATGGGGGAGTGCTTTCTCATTTTCCCTCTCTCTCTTTGATAAATACATGTACCCACTGGCAAATTTAAAAAGGGTGGGGGACCGACAGGTGGTATGGTAGACAAGGGTGCTGGATTCCCACATGGCCAACCACAGTCTGGACCCTGGACCTGGTGGCTTGCTTTCTCACTTTCCCTTTCTCTCTCTGGTCAAATTAAAACATAATAACAAATGGAATTACAAAAAATAAACAAACAAAAAACAAAAAATGGCCGGGAAGAGTTGTGGACTAGTGAAGGGGGCAGATCCTACATGGCTGACCCATTGGTCAGAATCCTAGCCCTGGGGGCTTGAAAAACATGATTGGAGAGCATACGCATCTTCTGGTAAGGAAAAAAGATACACACACACATACATATATAAAATTAAAAAACAGGAATGGTGCAGAGTCCCTATTGTGTGTGTGTGTGTGTGTGCATGCACATGCCTGAAGCACTGTGATATATCAGGAACAAAAGAAAACAATATAAACAATGCTCAAAGACTGGCTAAAAATGGGGGTAAGGCTGCAGCTTAGCTTAAGGAAAGCCCTCATTACAATAAAATCTCCCCATTTTATGAGAACTGAGGCTCAGAGATTGTTTCATCAAAGGACTGGTGATTACAAAATCTGTATTTTGTTCCAAAACGTTTTTTTTTTTTTTAAAGATTATTTGCTATAGGGTATTTGTCATAGAGACAGAGGCAGAAAACAAAATCACTCCCCAGGGGAGAGAGCCACACTGCAATCACGTCTCCATTTTCCCCTCAGGATTTTGGACACACACATGTGCCCAGCATGAGTTTCAAGCCTGCGTTCACACACACCCGGTGTGAGTTTCAAGCCACAAAGTCCAGGACCTGAACTGCAAGTCAGCCATGTGAGAGTCCAGCAATGTAACCAGTACTCCCTGAAGTTTGTGTTTTCTGTCATGTATGTTGCTGTAAAGGTAGCTCTGTACTGGCCCTAGAATAGACCAAGTTGGGTAGAGCAGTAGAAGTAACTCCAGAAATTAGTCAATGAATGATGGCTATTGTTACCTTTGGTATTTTTATATGGCAAGTTTGATAAAAGCTGGATAACTCAAGATAGTGTTTTATAGGCAACTGGCTTAGTTATTATTTTTTACATTATAATTTCAGTTGACCTGATGGTTTACATATTAATGGGGTACAGGGTTGTTTTTTGGAATCATGTATGAAGAATATAATAACCAAAGCAGAGCAATAAACCTATGCAGCACCTTGAAAAAAAAAAAGACTACAGGCTTCTGTCTCTACAGACAATTTAGGACTTCTATTAAATTTCAAGACAAACCACCAGAGAATCATGACTTTGAACTACATGCTTTTATCTGATTCTCAGAGTCTGTCTTTGGCATTATAAACTAAGCAAAGAAACAGAAGATGTATATAAAGAACCTAATGAACAACTAAAAAACGCAAACCCCCAAATGAAAACTTAACAGTTACAGTCAACAACAGATTAGCTATAACAGAAGAAGGAATCAGTGAGCTCAAAAATAGAAATGAATAAATGTGAAGAACAGAGAGAAAATAGGCTTGAAAAATAAAAAGAGAGCCTGATGAATCTGTGGGACAATAACAAATGATCTGCCATTTGTGTTACTAGAGTTCCTAAAAGAAAAGAGAGGGGGGATGAAAATATTTAAAGTAAAATGGTTGAAAAGTCCTCAAATTTGGCAAAGAAGCATAAACCTACAGATTGAAAAGCTAAACACCACACAGTAAAGTCTCTAAACATTCCATGCCATACACAAAATTAAATTTCTGAACACTGCAATTAAAAACAATTGACTGCAGCTTGATAGAAATTAAAAACCAGGGGAAGGGACCAGCAGTTGGTGTAATGGCTATGTCACTGGACTCACATGTAGTTGACCATGGTTCACCCAGACCTAGTAGCTTAAACTCATGCCAGGCGTGTGTGTGTGTGCGCATGCCCAAGATCCCAAGAGAGTGGAGAATGGATTGCAGCATGGCCATCCCCCAGGGGGTGATTTCTTGCATTCTGTCTCTTTGTCTCTGTCTTTCTGGCGAGCACATGCACCCTATAGCAAAAACTTCTCCCCTACCCCCCCAAAATAAATGAATTAAAAACCAGGGGAAAATGGTTTAAATGGTAACAGATTTCTTATATGAAACAACAAAGGACAAAAAGAACAAACATGTTTCACAAGTACTAGGAAAAAATAATTGCTGACCCTGAATTCTGTATCACACAAAAATATCCTTCAGGTTAAAAGAAACAGAAAGATGTTTTTAGATGAATGGGGGATTAAAAAGAACATTTATTATCCACAGGCCTATAGCTAGAAGAAAGGCTATAGGAAGTTCACTGAACAGAAAGGAAACATTAACAAAAGACTGCTTGGGCATTCAAAAAAGGAAAATGGAATGGGTTAAAGGAGAGGTAAACAGACTATGCTACTCATGGATTTTATAAAATATATTTGAAATCTGAAGCAAGAGCCAGCTGGTGGCATGGCTAAGGCGACTAGATCCCACATGGTTGACTGTGTAGTTTGAGTCCTAAACCTGGCAACTTAATGTGCAGGGTGATGTGTATGTGTGCCCCAAATTCTGAAATGAGGGAGAAATGCAGCACAACCATTCTCTGTGTGTGTGTGTGTGTGGGGGGGGAGTGGGGATGCTTTCTCACTTGACATTTTGCTTTGTCTCTCTGAGGTGAGCACGTGTACCCTCTGAATTAAAAAAACAAGTTAAAGCAAAAATTCTATCTTCCTGAGGATGGCGGGCGGCATGGTAGTTAAAGTACTAGATCTTGTATGGCAGAGTCTACGGTTCAAGTCCCAGACATAGTGGCTTAAAGAGATATCAGGGACTTGAGAGTGGATGCCCAAAATCCCAAGAGGAGAAGGGACTGCAGTGATGTAAAGGACCTAATAGATGTAAGAATTTTAAACATCAAAGTGCTAAATTATTGATACCATTAAATTGTGCTGTTACATGGTTGTATTGCAATATACCTAGAGAAACGACTAAAAAAGATGATATACATCACCTTTACAGATAACTACAGATATCTCAAATGGAATTCTAAAAACACTGAAGCCATTAGAAAGAAAAAACAAAAAATCTACAAGAAAAATACCAAATCATACACTGGCCAACAAAACGTAAGTATGAACATATCAATTACTATTTTAAATTTAAATGGTCTAGATATACCAATTAAAAGAAATATGCAAAATGCATAAAAATTATGGAAAAATAGAAATCATACAAAGGTTAATAAAAATGCTGAAGTAACTATATAAACATCAGAAAAAGTATTTCAGAGTCAAGAATATTAACAGGAGTAAAAAGGGATATTACATAAAGATAAAAGGGTCAACACACCAAGAATAATGAGCAAATCTACACGTATATATACCAAACAACAGAGTTTTGACTTATGTGAAGCAAAAACTAATAGAACTTATAAGAGAAACAGATAATTACACAATTACAGTTAAGCACTTCAACACCACTCTCTCTGCAACTGAAGAAATACTACACAGAAAATCAGCAAGAATACAGAATATCTGGGACCAGAAGATGGCATAATAGGTACATCACTGGACTACCACATGGCTGACTATGTGGTTCAAGTCCTGGACTTCGTGGCTTGAAACTCACACTGGACTTGTGTGAAAGCGTGCCCAAAATCCCGAGAGGAAAATGGAGAAGGGATTGCAATGTGGACATCACCCTGGGGAGGTGGTGATTTCTTGTTTTCTGTCTCTCTGGAAAGCACATGCGCCGTATAGCAAAAATCTCAAAACAAAACACTATACATATACATATATATATATATATGTGTGTACTCACCAGAAAGACAGAGAAAGACAGAGACAGAAAGAGAAATCATCCCCTGGGGGGATGGCCACATCCGCAATCCCTTCTCCTCCATTCTCTTCTCCAGATCTTGGGCATGCACACACATGCGCACAGCGTGAGTTTAAGCCACCGGGTCCAAGACTCAAACTGCGGTCAACTACATGAGAGTCCAGTGACACAGCTATTATGCCATCTGCTGGTTCCAAGGATCATGTAGACCTTTATAGAAACTCCATCCAAGACAGCAGAACACACGTTCTTTTCAAACAGCCATAGAGAACAACACAGACAATATCCTGACTTGTAGAAAAATAAGTCGACAAATTTAAAATCATACTAAATGCAAAAGAAATTAGAAAACTATAACAAATAGCAGAAAATACTTTAAACCATGAGAAAATGAAATAACATACTTCTAAATAATTCATGGGTTAAAGAAAAAAATCTAAAAAAATCAAGAAATTTTAGAATGAAATAAAATGTAATTAAAACATATCAGACCACTTGGGATGAAGTTAACAGTGAAATGAGGGAAATTTATAGAATTTAACTCTAAGAAAATAGCCTTTATCAATAATGCAAATACCCATCTCAAGAAATAACCAAAAGTCAAAGCAGGTAGGAAAATGGGCAGATCCAGCAGAACTCAGTGAAGTTAAAACAGGAAGACAGTGGGACCAGCAGATGGTGTAATGGTTACATCATTGGACTACCACGTAGTCAACCATGGTTTGAGTCCTGGACCTGGCGGCTTAAAACTCATGCCAGGCATGTGTGTGTGCATGCATGTCCAAAATCCCCAGAGGAGAATGGAGAAGGGAGTGTGGCATGGCCATCTCCCCTGGGGGGTGATTTCTCACCTTCTGTCTCTCTCTTAAAAACTGTCTCTCTGGTGGGGGCACATGCCCTATAGCAAAAATCTCTTAAAAATAAACACACACACACACACACACAAATAGACAGTATAGCAAAATCAATAATATAAAGTGCTGGTTATTTGAAATGATCGATAAAATTGATAAATGTCTAAGAAGATTAACAAAGATAAAAAGAGAATGGATACATTTCCAATATTAAAAATGAAAAAGAGAATATAAATATAGATCCTGTTGCCATCAAGAAAACATGAGAACATTTCAAACAATGCTTTAAACAAGTCAGAAAGTGTACAGAAAGTGGGCAAATCCCTTTAAAAGAACAAACTCTGAAAATCCATCCAATATGAAATACTCCATATAGTTCTACATCTGTTAAATAAAATAAATACATAATTTAAAAAGATCTAGAAGGTAAACTCCAAGTCCAAACAGAGCTGGGGAAAGTTAACAAATACTACATTTCTATATGTTGTCTTCCATATAATTGAAGAAAACAGAGTACCTCTCAATTCAGGTTGGGAGGCTATTATCACCTAGCTATCAAAACCAGACAACAGTTCTAAAAAGGAAAAACAAAAACAAAAACAAAACTTCCTACAGATCACTATCACTCATGAAATTAGAGGAAAACTTCAAAATACTAGTAAATGAAATACTATAAAATAATACATATTTTAGAAAGCATAGTCCATAGCCAAATGGGGCTTATTCCAAAGATGCAAGGCTGGTTCAATAGTAAAATCACAATCAGTATAATATATCAACAGACTAAACAAGTATTGGGTTGCTGGGACAGTCATGATGCATTTTTTAAACACAAAAACATAGAAAGTATGATACAGCATGGCTTCCCCAACAACCTAATGATGTCACATGATTACATCAAGTGATGGAGACACATTTAACAAAATCTAACTAATCATAACAAAAAAAAAATCTCAGCAAGTTACGAATAGAGAGAACCTTTCTAAATGTGATAAAGAAACTTTTAAAAACTTACAACATTGTACTAACGAGAAACTGAACATTTTCCCAATAGTATCAGGAACCAAGCAACAATGTCTTCTCACCATTCCTACATAACATAATGGAAGTCTTAGATAGTGCAATAATACAAGGAAAGGAAATAAAAGTATACAGATGAAAAGGAAGAAATAAAACTTTTAAAATCCTCAAATTTCTCTTAAAAGAAAAATGTTAGAATAAATGAATTCAGCAAGGTTGTAATAGCATAACAGTATCACATAATTATATTTCTGTATACTACCAAACATGTGATTATTAAAACTTTAAATATCATTTACATTCACTAAGGAATGAAGATATACATTTTATTTTAAGTGTATACTCTGTAACTAATAAAACAATCATGAAATAAATCAAGAATACTTAAAAAAAAACCCAGATGTACCAACATTCATGAATTGGAACTCAGCACATCAAAGATGCTGACATTCAAATTAATCTATATTTTAACTCAATTTTTATTAAAATATAAGCAATAATCTTCATTTAAAAAACTAACCTTAGTGTATATATGGGAGGTGAAATGAGCCAGGAATACTATATTAATTTAAAAAAGAATAGAGAGGAATGTCATTTTACCCAATTTTCAACTTACCAATCAACTATATCAATAGATGGGAAGAATCAAGAAAAATTTGGAGTGCTAGGTATTTAAAACAACATAAAATTAAGATGAAAACAAAATCAGACTTCATGATCAGCAGATGGAGTAATGGTTAAGTCGCTGGACTCGCACAGTTGACTGAGGTTCGAGTCCCAAACCTGGCAGCTTAAAACTCACACCGGACATGTGTGCGTGCATGCCCAAAATCCTGAGTGGAGACTGGAGAAGGGGTTGTGGCATGGCCATCCTCCCTGGGGGGTGGGGAGGTGATTTCTCACTTTCTGTCTCTCTGGCAAGCACATGTGCCCTCCAGCAAAAATCTCTCCAAAAAAATAAATTAATTAAATAAAATAAAAATTCAAGTCTTAAGTGGTACAGTAAAATGTGCCCATTCATGTATGTTTCCTATCTCCTTTAGTTAAAATGCATTTTGTACCTCAGGCTTTCATTCTTCATAAAAAGTTACACTCCTCAAGAATAGAAACAACAATGTGGAACAAAGACGACATTCATTAAGTTTCCAGATCTAAGTCTCTAGACATGGCACAACTATAAATGTATACAAAAGACTCATAAGGGGTCAAGGCCCTTTACTTCCGAAGCAATAATTCCCTCCACTCAAATAAACTAAGAAATCCATGACCAAGTACCATAGACTTGGCAGAATGGTATGAAAGAAGCAGTGCTTGTATTTTTTTTCTCTCTGACGTCTTATTTCATAAAAATTCCTGAGATAGCACTGCACTCTAAACTAATATGTAGCTAAAGGTTTTCCTAAGTACATTTAACCACTGGGTCTTTCTCACACAAAAATTCTAAGATGAAGAATAAGGTTTTAAATTGGGTTAATATCTAATATGACTCTTAGTTGACAAGTGATATACTCTGCAACAGGTTTTCTCACAGTGAAGATACCTGTGCAGTTTCTCTTTGGTATGAATGGTCAGATGCCATGTAAGATGTTTCCTCCTGCAAAAGATTTTCCTCAGTGGTTACACTCAAAAAGTCTTTCCCCAGTAGAAATTCTTGGATGTTGACTGAAGTTTGCCCACTTGCATAAGGTCTTCCTACATCTGTTGCTTCAGTAGGGTTTTTCCCATTATGCATCTTTTGATGCTGAGTGAGGGATGAGCTGCGACTAAAGGCCTTTCCACATTCACTGCACTCATAGGGCTTCTCTCCTGTGTGGATGATGGAATGTCGAATAAGGTTTGTGCTCCAACAAAAGGTTTTCCCACATTCAATACATTCATAGGGCTTCTCTCCACTATGAATCCTTTGGTGCCTTGTGAGGCCTGATCTGCGGTTGAAGGCCTTCCCACACTCCATACACTCATAGGGCTTCTCTCCAGTGTGGATGCTGAAGTGTCGAATGAGGTCTGCCCTATTGCTAAATGCTTTTCCACATTCTTTGCACTCAAAAGGTTTTTCTCCAGTGTGAGCTCTTTTATGTAAGATAAAAGTAGAGCAGTGGGTAAAGGCCTTTCCACATTCACTGCACACATAAGGTTTCTCCCCAGTATGAATCCGCTGATGCCTCTTGAGGTATGACCTGTGGTTGAAGGCTTTCCCACACTCCAGACACTCAAAGGGCTTCTCCCCAGTGTGAATGACGTAGTGGTGAATCAGGGCTGCACTCTCACAAAAGGCTTTCCCACATTCGCTGCACTCATAGGGCTTCTCCCCTGTGTGAGTCTGCTGGTGCCACATGAGATACGACCTGTGTTTGAAAACTTTACCACACTCGAAGCACTCATAAGGATTCTCCCCACTGTGGATGATGTAGTGTCGAATGAAACCTGGCCTATCACGAAAAGCCTTCCCACATTCTTTGCACACAAAAGGTTTTTCTCCAGTGTGGCTTCTGTTATGTAACACAAAAGTAGAGCGGTGGGTGAAGGCCTTTCCACATTCACTGCACTTATAAGGCTTCTCTCCACTGTGAATCCGCTGGTGCTGGGTCAGGTGTGACTTACGGTTGAATGCTTTCCCACACTCCATGCATTTATAGGGCTTCTCCCCAGTGTGGACCATGTGGTGTTGAAGGAGGTAAGTACTCTTACTAAAGGTTTTCCCACACTCTGTGCATTCATAGGGCTTCACTCCAGAATGAATCCTCTCATGTCGAGCAAGAAGACGCTTCTTGTTAAAAACTTTTCCGCATTCATTGCATTTAAAAATATTTTCCTCTTCCTGAATCATGGGCTCTTTATCTGATCCATGTGTATCCAGGTCATGAACAGCATCTCTTGCAGAGACTTGCTCCTGTATAATCCTTGAACACACACCATCAGCTTTCCCTAAACCATCGTGTTCAAAGCTCATTTTCCCAAGAATCTTTTCATTCTGGGGATCTATACCTGGTCTCAAATATCCTTCCTGAGGTTTAGATGGGCCATCCTGATCCTTGGCTGGTATTAACTGGGGGTTCCCTGAGCCTCCCTGTGTTAGTTCTCCCCAGATGGAAACTCCCTTACATAAGATTGGCTTGTAAGTGGTAGGTTCTGTGTTCTTGGATTTTTGTTGGTCACCTGAAAAAAGTATAAGACAAAAGGGGGCATGTTAGCAATGACAACAGAGAAAAAACAAAACTGCCACTTCAGAAAAATACATGAAAATGAAAACAGTGATTATGTCTGTTCTGGTATCTCTGAATTCCAGGTTTGCAATTAATTAATTAATTAATTAATTTCTGTCCTTGCTTCTTGATTCCTTGAATAGGAGAGCAAATAGAGAAACTGAGAAAGTAGAGATGGTCTAGAGTGAAAATACCTCAATTTCAGACTAGATATTTATATAAAGGTATCTCATTATATGCCCCTGGTTAAGTTCTTTTTCTTTCTTTCTTTCTTTTTTTTGGAGAGGCTTTTGCTATAGGGCACATGCGCTCGCCAGACAGACAGAGACAGAGAGATAAAAAGTGAGAAATCACCCCTCAGTCCTTGGTTAAGTTCTAAAGAAATAACTGGGATCAGCAGTTGGTGTAATGGCTATGTTGGTGGACTCCCATGTAGTCGATTGCGGTTTGAGTCCTGAACCTGGTGGCATAAACTCACGCTGGGCATGTGTGCGTGCATGCCCAAGATCCTAAGAGGAGAACGGAAGAGAAGGGATTGCGGCATGGCCATCCCCCCTTGGGGGGTGATTTCTTGCTTTCTGTCTCTCTTTTTGGCGAGCACACACACCCTATAGCAAAAACCTCTCCAGAAAAAGAGAGAAATAACTCAGGGTAAGGGCCAGCCACAGAGAGTCATGTTAGTAGTAAGTTGAAACTTCAAGCCATAACATATCATCTGGAGAGGAAAGGGGGACTAGAGAAAGAATCACACAGTTATTCAATCAGCCGTGCTTATGTAATGAAGCTCAACAAAACTCTAAACACCTAAGTTCCTGTGAACTTTCTGGATGGGCAATACTCTCACATATGCTGTACATCAATAACATGTAACGAGTCCCCGAGTACATAAGTTTCATGTTTGAAGCCTCTGCAGCCCCACATTTCCCATCTCTTCTAATTTATATCCTTTGTCCGTAAATGTTTTAGGTTTTTTTTTTCTCCCAGTTTTTTGCTATAGGTACATGTGCTCATTGGAGATAGTGTAAGAAAAAGTGAAAAATTGTCCCTTGGGGAGGTAGCCTGCTTCAATTCCTTTTCCTCTTCTGAGATTTTAGGTATGCGTGCACACAGACATTCATCATGAATTTCAAGCACTCGGGTCCAAGACTCAAACTGCGGTTGGCCATGTGGGAGTCCTGCATCTTAAACACCATGCCAAGTGCTGGCCCCAGTTTTAGGGAGTTTTGAGTCTTATTATCAAATTACGAACCTGTATGTAATTTTGAGCAATTGAAGAACTTGCAGTAGAGTTAGAAGACTAGGGCAAACAGTGTCCTTAATCTGCATTTGGCTAATCCTGAATAGGAAGAGAGCTGGGAGGGACCAGCAGTTAGCATAATGGCTATGTTGCTGGACTCCCACATAGTTGACCGCAGTTTGCATCCCGGACCGGGTGGCTTAAAACTCACGCTGGGCGCGTGTGCGTCATGCATGCCCAAGATCCCAAGAGGAGAACGGAGGAGAAGGGATTGCGGCGTGGCCATCCCCCCTGGGGGGTGATTTCTCGTTTTCTGTCTCTCTGTCTTTGTCTGGCGAGCGCACGCGCCCTATAGCGAAAAACCTCTCAAAAAAAAAAGGAAGAGAGCTGGGAAATTTCCCTAAATGGAGTGCCACAAAAAAAAGTGGGAAAGGCACTGAGGCTTAAGTGACAGAACATACAAAGAAACTGTAGTATTCAAGAAAACATGGTGTTGATGAGAATCCAGAGACAGATGAAGACAGAAGGAAGCTGAATCCGAGCTTGACTTGGGTAACGCTGGTTAAGAGCACTAATATTCTGAAGACAGGATTTACAAGGCAGAGTGGTACTGACAGAGATAAGACCAATAGGCAACAAAAAGACAAAAGACAACTCAGAAAAATGCTCACACATATGGAGCTCTAGTAGATGGCAGAGGAGATATAGGAGTTTAGGGATAAGAGAAAATATTCAGTAAACGCTGGTAGGAAAATTCACTTCCCAAAGCAGAATGAAAATAAGACCTTTAGAATAAAATAAACAATGTCTTTGATATTGGGGTAGAAAAAAATCATTCACAGATGAAACGTCATAAATTAGACTACACTAAAATAAGAACTACTTGGGACCAGCAGATGACGAAATGGCTGCGTTGCTGGACTCACACGTATTCCTGGACCTGGCGACTTAAAACTCATGCCAGGCATGTGTGCAGGCATGACCAAGATCCTAAGAGGAGAATGGAGAAAAATGGATTGCAGTGTGGCCACCCCCCTGAGGGGAGATTTCTCGCTTTCTGTCTCTCTCTCTCTCTGTTGGGTGTACACACCCTATAGCAAAAATCTCTCTTTAAGGAAACCTCTGGTTCAACAAGAAACAACAGACTGGGACCAGCAGTTAGCGTAATGCCTATGTCGCTGGACTCCCATGTAGTTGACCGCGGTTCGAGCCCTGGACCCGGTGGCTTAAACTCACGACAGTCGCATGTGTGTGCATGCCCAAGATCTCAAGAAGAGAATGGAAAAGGGATTGCGGCATGGCCATCCCCCCGGGGGGTGATTTCTCGCTTTCTATCTCTCTGTCTGTCTCTGTATTTCTGGTGAGTGCATGTGCCCTATAGCAAAAATCTCTTCAAAACTAGAAGAAAAAAAAAAAAACACCAAGATACATCAGTGTGAAAAAACAAAAGTAAAACTAGAATATATTTACGACACATATAACTGATAAAATATAAGTATCAGGAATGTACAAATAATCCCTATGAAACAAAAGGAGAAAGGCAAACAAGATAACAGAAAAATGGGCAACTAAATTCCAGTAACCAACTGGGCAAGTCGAGTCCCAGACCTAGAAGCTTGAAAAACACAACAGACGCACATAAGGAAAGACTACTGTATAGTTTTTTTTTCTTTTTTTTCTTTTAAATGAAGTAAAGCTTTGCTTGAGGGGTGCATTCTTTCATGGAGTAAATCTGAAAGATCCTGTTCCTTTGGAGTAAAACGAGGGCTTACTGGTTTCCAATTGCATTTAGCTTCTGGTTGGAATTTGAAAATATGAAAACCTAAATAAAATAGTGAAAGTTCCCTGACTGTTCAGGTGAATACACATACACACACACACACACACACACACACACACACAACAAACACAACAGATGCATGTGTGCCCAAAATCCCAAAAGAAGGGATTGTAATGTGGCCATATCCACTGCAGGAGTTGACTTCTCATTTCTCTCTCTTTCTCTGTCTGTCAAGTGCACATGCTCCATAGGAAAACTGAAGGAAAATAAAGGGCACCTATCATGAAATGACATTTCACAGCAGACAATGGTCTGCCAAAAATGTAAGTCATTAAAACTTGTTAACAACAAGAAATATGCGAATAAAAAACACAGTAGATAGATACTATTTTGTACTTATCTGATGGGCAAAAATCAAGAAGCCTTACGGTATCAAGTGTTTGACAGATTACAGATGAATGAATGTCCCATACTTTGCTGGTGAGGTGCAAAGAGGTATACCTTCTGTAGAAAACAATGAGAATTGGGCCAGCGAGTGGCATGGTGGTGAAAGTGGCTGGATCCCACATGGAAGACTGAACAGTTCGTGTCCTGGACCCAGAGGCTCAACAAACATACCAAGCATGTGTGCACTCATGCCCAAAATCCTAAAAGGAAGGAGAAAAGAAAAAGATTGCTGCATAAACATGTCCCAAAGAAATGTTTTCTCACTTTCTCTGTTTTTCTCTGTCCAGTGAGCACATATACCCCCTGGCAAAATTTTTAAAAGGAAGCAAAGAGGGGAACCAGCAGTTAGCGTAATGGCTATGTCACTGGACTCCCATGTAGTCAACCGCGGTTCGCGTCCTGGACCCGGTGGCTTAAAACTCACGCCGGGCGCGGGTGCGTGCGTGCCCAAGATCCCGAGAGGAGCATGGAGGAGAAGGGATTGCGGCGTGACCATCCCCCCGGGGGGTGATTTCTCGCTTTCTGTCTCTATGTCTCTCTCTGTCTGGCGCTCTATAGTGAAAACCCCTCCCCTTCCCCCCCCAAAAAAATTACATCTCACATTTCCTTCTGAACTCTGAGGAATATGGTTTTTTTCTTAGAGTTTCTCTCTCCTGCTATATTCTGCCTAGCACCCTCTCTATCCACCCATTCTGTTATACATTGAGATGTCGTCCTTTGCCCTTGTACTTTTGCACTTTCAGTTTTGTAAAATGTCCAAGTGATTTTTGGCTTTCTCTGTCCCACTCATGGGTTGCTACAGCAATTGGGTTCTCATGTGGATTAGTTGGTGCCACCAGAGTGATGAGTGATGGTTTCTGTACTCTGGAGGTTCCTTCCTTGGCTATTCATCCAGCTTGTGTCTGTGCAGTCCCTCCAAGTCTTTCTGATCCCCACCTCCCTTCAGTCTCTCATGTCCACTTGAATTTTTTTTTTGGAGAGGTTTTCACTATAGGGCACGTGTGGTCGCCAGACAGAGAGAGACATAGAGACAGAAAGCGAGAAATCACCCCCCGGGGGATGGTCACGCCGCAATTCCTTC